TCTCTCTCTCTCTCTCTCTCTCTCTCTCTCTCTCTCTCTCTCTCTCTTTGATGGCGTGCTTCTTGATTAACAACAGGGAGCAGTCGCCTCAGATGGCACTTTGCTGATTGTCTGACAGAATCTCATTTCCCTTTGGACCCATTTTTGAAATGTCAGAACTAGGCTCCGTCCCACGTGTGTGTGGGTGTGTGTGTGTGTGTGTGTGTGTGTGTTGTACGGAGATGAGAGAGGGCCTCTGGTCTGAGCTCATGTTCAACTTTCTGACTCCTTCATACATTGTTAAAAGAAAACAATCAAATGTCACTGAATGCACACACACACACACACACACACACGGAGGGAGCCTTAATTGTCTTTTTGCCCATCTGTTGATAAATGTGCCTGTATGTAATGGCCTGTGTCTCTACGGCTCCATTGACATAATGGGAGGAAGGGCACGCCTACTGTCTCCAGTCACTGTCTGTTTGGGTTCATAAAGAGCATCACAAGAGCTGCTGACATGGGGGACCATTAAAACAGCAGCATGTGATTAATGCCATAAAACATCGTCAGTGTGACTCTCATTAACCTTTCATGACTTGCCGACTATACTTTGACATCACCAATGGCAATTCGAAGTCAATATAATCTACGATATCGGCCCTCTTACGAGGTATTTTCATGCACAGCATTGATTTAACAGTAACGTGACTTTATCTGAAGTGATCATGGGTTTAATGTTTAGCATTGATGTTGAAGAAAACATTATCCGGCTATAGCCAGCTTTGTTTCTTTTACTGTGGAGTATCTTTGTCTTGAATGTTTTAGGTTTCTTCAGTTGCAAGTGGGATTGAAATCAAACCATTTGCATTCGATTGGACCGCTAAAAAGTGGGCGGGTTTATAATAATAACCTCCTGTTCTGCTTTAAACTTGCATTCTTCCTAATGTCAAGCAGGGGGCGACTCCTCCGGTTGCAAAAAGAAGTCTGATTGTATAGAAGTCTATGAAAAAATGACTCTACTTCTCACTTGATTTATTACCTCAGTGAATATTGTGAACATGAGTTTATGGTCTCAGATGCTAGTTTCAAGTCTTCTTCAATACAGCATGATGTTCATTTAGTAAATGATGGTCCCTTTTAGAGTAAAATGAGATAAAGCAGAGTATGTGTTAGGGCGGGGCTACATTGTGATTGACAGGTCGCTACCACGGTGTTGTCCAGTCTGGGAATTGTCCGTGTTTCAGTAAACTTTAAATCTTTCACAGTTTGTTTTCAGTTCTTAAACGTTAACTGTAACATTTTGGTTGCCTAAAAATGTCTTCGGTTGTACTTAGCTCCACCCTCTGGTGTCACTTCTGGTTGCAAAAAAACAACGACTAAGATGGCGACGGCCAAAATGTCGAACTCAAGTCTTCAAAATTGCAGCCGACAAACCAATGGGTGACGTCACCGTGACTACGTCCACTTCTTCGGTACAGTCTATGGGAGCCACGGACGACTGTGGCTCCACACACACACCTCACTTGTCACTAAAAGTGGCAGATTGATGGATGGATGTCATCATATCATTGGTTGGTACTATTTTTACGTAAGCACACGTCATATTTTGTTTGGATGATTGGATTTTGATATAAAAATACTAAGAAATACACTTTTGTAAGTGTCTTTTGCATATACTTTTAAGTAGGTGCACGATATTATCAGGGATGTGAAAGGTCTTTTTTAAAATATTTCATCTTTAAAAGTGATGATAAATGTAAATACATTTGTCTTGGTGGTGTTTGGCATCAGTAGAGGCTGATAGTAGCGACTGAAGTTCTGAATAAATCCTGTATCTGCATTTAAATGACATTTTGTCCCACGTCCAACACAGTAAAGCAGCGTTTATTTTCTCGGTGCCATGTTGTGAAGCCTCGCAGACTCTGCTGCTGCTAATGAGTGGTGTCTCTCAGAGTTTTGGCTGTGATAGATGGTTGCTGTTTAAGCTAGGCTGCCATGAGATTTAATGACCTAATCTAGCTGGTTTGCAGAACACCCCAGTAACACAACACGGCCATCGCCTTCTGATCAATTGCATCTTCCCTCACCACCCTAACCAGCGGTGGCTCAACCCTTTACGCTTCATCAAGTCATGTGCATGTCTTTATGTGTTCCAGTCTTCCACACAGGAGTTTTACCTCATTAGCAGTGGCCTTTCTCGACTGGGAAGTGAACTGCAGGCCTTGCTCCCAGCTATCCAGTCACAGATCAGCTCTGCGCTCCTCCGAGACCTCTTGTTGGACGCTCCCGACCTGCTGGCTCCCGCTCACAGCCACCTCAAGGTGCTCAATGAAAGGGCTGCCAAGTGAGTATCCAGCAGCACGAGAGGGAGGATGCAAAAACAGATCTCTCCAGACACCTTGATTAAGTGGTGATTCATTGTTAAAGCAGATTTACTCAGAATGTCTTAGTCATAGATTTTGTCTGAGTGGTCATTATTGTTTATTACTAAAGAATGCGGTCAATCAAGTCAACATTTCATCATTTAAATTGCTTTGTTGTTTACACTCACTGTGGTCTGGCAGATATGCAGTGAGATTACACTATTGATTTTTTTATTTTTTTTTACATCAACTGATTCATTGTTCAGCCTATAAAATGTCCAACTAATGAAAAATGCCCAAACACTCCAGAGCCAATGCTATATACAATGATACAAGACTTAGAAAGGCAGCGAATCATCACATTTTAAGAACCAGCCAGTATGCCTCCATTATCAAAACTTGATCATGGTTTTGTTGATCAATTTATTAACTCTTTTTTTTTTTTTTTTGTAACCGTGGAGACTTAGAATACAACTGTTTTTGGGAAAGCTGTGTTGCTAATTCAGTTGCTGTGATAGTACTGTATTATCATCATCTCAAAACTAAGAAGTGGAGAACTTGCAGCAGCAGCATATTTTTCCATGAACATACTGTGGATCCGGGAGCCGCCATACACATACACACACATACACATACACATACACACACACACACACACACACACACACACACACACACACACACACACACACACACACACATGCATATTGAAAAATCTTTGTTTGTTAAAGATATCTCAAATTGAAAACGTATCCATATCTGCTGATGGATAAATTGGTGTCTCTGACTCTTCTACATTGGATTCATTTGGATTTGCATATTGACGTATCTAGAAACAAGTTATGTGACGATCACAAAAACACACCACAGTACCATAAAATTAGGCCCAAAAGGGTTTTTGCTCCTGAACAGGTAGGTTGACCAGGTTGTCTCAGAAGCTGTCCTGTGTTGTGTGCCTGTCCCCCTGATGTGTACTATGATTTGTTACCAGCCGCTGTCACATTCGGACTCTGCGGTTCTGTGTTTGCGTAGGACAGGAAATAAGACGGAGCTTTTCTCAGACCTGTCCGGCTTCCCGGTGCTGCGGGAAAGGAGGGAGCAGATCCAGGCCGTCGTCAGCCAGATTCAAGACCACCGCAAAGAAATCCGACGGACACTGAAGGCCCCGGCGCTGGACTACGCCACAGTCTCTGGACAGGAGGTACCCAGTGTGTGT